GTCTATACTTCCATTGTCTATAGTTCCACCCTCATCTTGATTCTGCAAAAAGATTGATTTTCCTTTAGATCCTACATTGAGCAATTTTAGGACTCCGACCCCCTCACACATGACCCTCCCTTAAAGAGAATGTACTCTTGACTCTTTCTCTGCAAGAGTCCTATTCCAATTATCTCAGCATTGACATAGTTTTCTCTTGAAAACTACCTACTGCCCTCGTCTTGGTTAGATAGACACTTTGCCACTGAGCTCATCCGACAGGGTTTCATTGTCTTATACCTGTTTATGTTCCCCATTAGACTCTGCCCTGGAAGGAACCTTGTTTATTAACTGCAAGCATCTTCAGTGCATAGTACAATGCAAAACACTTAGTGGGCACTTAGGAATATTAGTTGAATTGAGAAATGAACCAATGAATGAAAGCTCACGTAATTCAAATAGTGGAATCAAAGCCATAAAATTGTCATCGGGTGGTGGTGGAATAAGGTAATGAAGCTGAAAGCATTTTCACCATGCTCCTTCATTTTTCTATGAAATATCAACCCAAATATTCCTGAGGAGGTTACCCTGTGGACTTCTACGATATGCTCCAACAGTTAACTACTCTGTAAGAATTCTCAGCTCTCACTTTAAATTACATTCAACTTGAACAAAATTTAAAATATGACCTTTTCCCTCAAATTGGCTCCTTTCTCAATGCTCTTTGTATCAAAATAAAAATAGTGAAAGAATTAAATAAATTTACTATTTTTTCATTTATGTATAGTAAGTAATACATTCTTCATGTTTTCTTACAAATATAACCATATAAATATGTACCCGGCTTCACTCATACCTCTGGGCCAGACTCTCTGGACTAATTATTACCTTCTAATACTCATCCTAATAATATTTTCTTGTTCTATGTGTAGCTTTCTCTTCCTGACTTGGAAAGTCTTCTATAAGCTACCTTCAGGGTCTTCTCTTGTATACTTCCTTTGTCATAAAATGTAAAATACATAAAAACTACAGTCCATTTTATATTGGCACTGAGCAAATTCAATTTCCAAGGTACTTTGTTGGGTTTTACTTTTTTTTTTTTAGATTTTCTTTTGAATAAGTGTTTTCTATTTGAAATACTGAGATGTAATCCTTTCAGGTCTTCCAACCTTACCAAGAGTGAGCATTGAACATTTCACAGTTCTTTTCTATGCTCAGCTTGCATCTCTATTTTACTTAGCAGGTTTTTAAAAAGTGTTTAGCATCTTTCTTTGCTTGAAATTATTTTTGTTTTTGGCTTCTTTATTCCAAAGTGGTGAAAATGAGCATATCTCTTTCCAATAAAAACAATAAATGTATTGAACCATAAATATCTTAAAATAAGTCTTAGGACTGAAAGCTGTAGTTTTCTGTTTTTAATAATCCACTTCTTCTGCTTACTGCTGACTTATTTGCAGCTGGCTGCCTAATTTTACATGCACTAGGTGTCGAGGAATAACACCTAAATCTTCCATTAAGTCATCACTGTGATCATCATTGCAGTGACCACAATAAGCAATACATGGAAGTAATGAAAACAAACACTCTAGAAGATTTTTAGAAATGCAAATAAAAGACCTTTTCTAGGAAATGAGAAAGACTATTGATTGGTATTTAGTAGATCTACAACTTAATTCTCATTATTGTAGAAACATTAGTAACCAAGACTATAATTCTGATTTTGCAAGAACTCACATAATACTTAGTTTTATACTTAATCTTTTATCATTTGTGACAAAATTTAGCAAAATGAAGGATTATCTAGAAGTAGACAGTGATTGCTTAAAGACACATTAATAATCAAGATTATAATATAACTATTTTCAAGAGTTAGACAACTCATGCATAAAACCATTTATTGAGACATGCATACTTGTCTAAGAATACATTTTAATACATGTTCAGTAAACTGTCATTAAAGTGTATCTGTACTGGGGTGCCAATCACTGATTTTTAACAAAACCATTCTATGATCCCAGTGAGAGAGGTATTGATTTTTGTCTATTTTGACAATAACATTATAACAATTTTATATATGGGAGGTTTAAACAAATTAGAGGTTTAAAAACATGTAGAATTCCTGGGAATCATGTTTAGAAGCGAGTTTTAAATAAAACCAATCTATCTCCAGATTCTGATACTAAAACACAATGTTCAATCTTAGTTTGGAGGAATTAAGAAACATGGCAGAACAGATTACATTTCTAATTTAATTTAGATCATTAATTCTTTTTTTTTCTTTTGAGACGGGGTTTTGCCCTTGTTACCCAGGCTGGAGTGCAATGGCGCCATCTCGGCTCGCTGCAACCTCCACCTCCTGGGTTCAAGCAATTCTCCTGCCTCAGCCTCCTGAGTAGGTGGGATTACAGGCACATGCCACCATGCCCAGCTAATTTTTTGTATTTTTAGTAGAGACGGGGTTTCACCATGTTGACCAGGATGGTCTCGATCTCTTGACCTTGTGATCCACTCACCTCAGCCTCCCAAAGTGCTGGGATTATAGGCGTAAGTCACTGTGCCTGGCCTTAGATCATTAATTCTTAACTTACATTAAGAGCATATATGAGACTATTATAAGATATAGTAGCATATAGCATATGCATATTTATAACACATAAAAAACTTATTGAAAATTAATTAAACTATAATATCCATACAATAAAGACAGGATAAGTGGGAGTTATCTAGGAAAACTGAGATAAAACAATTAGATAAAACTGAGATTAAAAAATACAGGGGCAACCTAAAGCTTCATTAATAAAAAATGTTTAAGTAAAATTCATAAAATGACAATAAGGATGCAATGGACATGGAGCACCTATGGCATAAAACAAGCACAATGCACACAGTAGAATTGCTGCCATTTGCATATCCATTTTTAAGTAAGTGACTTTATTTTTCCAAGACTTGTTTTTACATACATGTTTCTACACAGACTTATAACTGGCCAGAAAATTTTAGTTAAGCAGCAGAGTTCGGGGAGTTCAGTTTGCTAAGTCACAGTCCTAACATCAGGTGTTCAAAGATGGAGCCGGGAATTTCTCAGCATTGTTCGATTGAAAGATGTGAGGCAGAATGTGCCAAGAGATAGGGCTGGGCCAACTGGTCCTCTGGCTATCATAAACAATCCCATCAAAAACAGTAGGGTTGGGTTGGGGGGAATTTTGTGATAAAATGAGGGGTCATTCAGCCAGAAACAAAAAGGATGGATTCAGGGAAAGAGCAGAAGTAGGAAGGTTAATAAAATGACAATTGCAATATTTCATGGAGATATGACAAGAGCCTGAAATCAAGCACAGCCAGCCAGGAACACCAATTGAGAGACAGGATGGAACAGATAAAGATGCAATGTAAGGAGTATACTTGTTAAAACTGGTGATTAATTAAATATGAGAAGAAAGTGCTTATGCTATTTGCTGCCTTGTTCTTAGAGGTTTATAAATATAAAAAGAAAAACATATAAACATTTAAAAACAATTATTAATTAATTAAATATGCATAACAGCTATATTAGATAGGTTGTAATATTGTCATCTTCATTATACAGATGACTAAATAGGAGTATTGTAAGATTTAAGTTGCTTGTCCAAGGTCATGCAGTCAGTAAATGGTGGGCTCAGAATTACAAACCAAGGCAGTCGAACATCACTGTGTGCACATTTAGCCACTATATTCTACCTCCCCTCAGACTCCCCTGATCACTGAGAGTTTCTAAGACGATGCTTGGATTCCAACTTAGGTGAATGGGTGAAAAGGGCCACCACTAATCTAATGAGGAGAAGCAGGAGTGAATGGAATGACCACAGGCCACTTTAAAGGGCTGAAATGTGAAGTCCTTGTGACACACCAAAGTCGAGGCATTTAGCAGGAGCTTCGGGAACAGAACAAGGGCACCAGATATAAACGTCAAGCCTTTTGGTCAAAGCGTGGCATATGGAGCTATGACATAGAGGGGATGTTCTAGGAAAGGTAATCTCCGGTCTTTTGACTTGCTAATTGGAATACTGTATATACGCTTCTCTAGGGCGTCTTTAAACATGTGCATATGAAATAAACAGTCACTGAGGGGCAGTAGGAAAATATGGCCATTTTAATCCTTTAAAATAAATCTGAAAACTATACAATTCAGGAGAAAAACACCCCATCAATAGCCTTTCCTTTGAAATTATTTCCTTAGTTACTCCTACCTCCACCCCCCGACACACAAAAACAAAAACTAACCCACAAAATTATCTTTTTCCGACCTACTACACTGTTAGTCAGTATAACCCACAACTTCAAATGAGCTTCTTCCAAATCTTTGACTCATTTTCTTACTTCCTTGTGTCAACTCCTTAGTTGCAGAGTTTTTGGGAGGCCAAGGCGGGTGGATCATGCGGTCAAGAGATCGAGACCATCCCGGTCAACATGGTGAAACCCTGTCTCTACTAAAAATACAAAAATTAGCTGGGCATGGTGGCTTGTGCCTGTAGTCACAGCTACTCAGGAGGCTGAGACAGGAGAATTGCCTGAACCCAGGAGGCGGAGGTTGCGCTGAGCCGAGATTGCGCCATTGCACTCCAGCCTGGGTAACAAGTGCGAAACTCCGTCTCAAAAAAAAAAAAAAAAAAAAAAAAAAAAACATGATGAACCTAGAATGGGTAATAATAAGCAAATCTTGAGGTAATCAGCAATTATTCCTATAATTCCTCCATTATTACTATTGAAAGAATAGGGTTCCCTTGAGTCAGGAACAATGGTTTATGAACATGAAGTACTATATCCCAGGTCCTGTGAAAAGGATCTACGACAGGACACACTTGCTCATTGCACTGCTATTGATTGCAGGATTTCCTCTTATAACAAAAGCATAAGATGCATTTAATGATCTTATGATCTCCAGGGCTCCTTTTCCGTGTGAGTATCTATGAGTTTATATTAATAAGATTGTCTCACCAGGAGCCATTGTATCTTCTAAAATATTTATTTTTATTTTTCAAGCTCATAACTCAGACAATACCTTTCACTCATTAAACAGACTAGGCCAGTATTCAACTCATCACTGGTGATATCATTAAGAATGGTATTTCCCGTCAATATTTATAAAAAGGATTTTATGTGAATAGAAATAAGCAAAGGAAGTCTAAAATGTGGACAAGTTGAAAATATTATTGCATGCTGAATTTTAAGACACATAGAAAAAGTTAAAGTGGGTGAAGCAAATCTAGAAGACCTTTATCAAAAAAGGGTGGCAAACGTTTTTCTTTCTGTGGGAAAGTGTGTTCTGCAAACAAACAGCTAAGCTTTAGATTAGTTCAAAAGAGAAAGTGAAGTCTGTGGTAGATATCAAAAAATAAAAGCTCTGGGTATACCCATGTGTAGACTTCCAGGGGGACAGGAACACCTTGCCTCAATGGGATCTGGTGGAGCAAATGTTACTATAGGAGCAGAAATGACATCGTATTGGGGATCATTCTGAAAGGAGGTAGTTCATGAATTCTAAAGCAACTCAGTCTCCATTTTGCTCATCTCCTTTTTTATAGGAGAATTGTGGGCTTGAAAGTGTGGACGAAGAATGGTTATGAAATGTGACATATAAACTGTGTGAGGAGAGAGAAAGTGTGAGCCAATTGAAATCTGAGTTTCCCAGGACCGGAGGAGAACACCCAGGAGGCTGCTGGAAGAACTCCCTTCTTAGGCTGTTCTTCAGTCATCCTTGGTGTTCATTCACAAACCAGGGAATAGGGTGGAGGTGCCAGAAAATCACAAATGGAGGTCATTTTTTTTTTTTTTTTATTCAAAAGGGAAAACAAAAGGAATTAGAGGACAGGTAGCATAACGGTAGCCCACAGTTAATTTCTAGCACTGAATGACTGGTTTGTTTACTCAAAAATAAGTCATCACAAGAATCCAAAACTACTGTGTGAGGTCTGATGCCATGGATTATTTATGTTTTAAGGCCTCTTTATGGTTTGTAATGAGGCATCTGACAGGGTATACTATCCAGTCTTTTGGATAAGAGATAGAATTGTATGTGGATTTATCCACATTACATGTAGGTGAGCATAGGGCTGTTTAAAGTTTATCCTAGAAAATGTTGAAGAGGAAAAATACCAACTTGAAGGAGATAAGGAATTGCACAGCATAAACAAAAGAAGGTTGGATTTACATCACCAGCCAATGGAAATAACTGTTGTCCCTGGAAAAATACAGAGATCTCAGGTTTAAATAAAATCTTCACAAACACAAGACAAGGAGTCCTAGTTTAACGAACACTCCATTTCCATGATAGAATGCGTAGTGTGGTCACAAAAAGCAAACAAGCCAGAAGCTAAGGCAGCAAGCCTCCATGAATAAGAGAAGAGAGGAAACGTATCACTACACCTGAGTTGCTCTAATGCGACGGAAATGAAATAGATACCTTTTTTAAGGTTTTGGAATTCTTATTTTAAACAGGGATGAAGATAGAACTAGGGTCGGAAAAGTGTTAACAGGTAGAGCATCTCAAAATGATGCCACATTTGAAATGATTATTTTTGATAAGATGCCATTTGGGAGGACTGGAAGCTTTCTAAACACTTGAAAGGATGTGTTATGAAAGACATTACAGGCAGAATCTGTATAGGTCTAGACTCAGGGCCAGAACAATTCATGGAAATTAGTGGAAACCTAAGCTCAGTTCAGTTGAGTGCAACTTTTTACCACGCAGCGGTCTGAAAATGAAGTGGGCTGCTTTTCCACAGAAAAAAAAATTGGCAAATATCTTAATCCTCAGAACGCCATCTCACTAATTATTCCTGAAATCAGTGTTTAAACACCTGGAACCAACTTGCTAAGCTTAGCTTTTTCTTCAACTCACAAAGCAAATTTAACGTTTCCGGTGGAGATGAAGATGTTCTTCTAGAAGGGAGAATTGCACAAACTACAGGGAAATGATTGATACTCAACATCAATCCCTTGCAATGTCCTCATATTTTGGTCTCAATATTCAGAAAAATAGAATTGCTTCTGTTCTGTTCTTTTAGCCAGTCTGTTCTCTTCAACTCACTAATTTATCTTGGAAACTCCACTTTTCAAATGTAAAGGCCCATCATTAGGATGTTTAATATTGATGGAAAAAGGAAAATGACTACTTTTCCCATAAAAATAAAAACACTGGCACTTATCTTTTCATGATGATGAACTTATTCTAATAAAGTTTTTCGACCTTATTGCTAGAGCAGTGGAGTATTGACAAGCAAGAACCTGCTAAGAGACCACTACTGGACTGTGACCTTCCAGACTTCCAGCAGCAGGATTCAAGGCTCTGTCCTCACAAAATTGCAAATGGTTCTGTGCTATAGAACGTCTGATTAGTGTTAAAATAATTCCATTAAAGAATACTGTATGCATAATTCCTCAGTGTCTGCTGAAAAGCTCTAAAAGCTCCACTTACATTTTAAGACACTTCACCAATCTTGCTTCCTTTTAGGCTTTCATCTTCAAATCACCATTTAAAAATTATTGAGAAAATTCAACTGCACTGCACAGTTTCAGTCTTATGTAATTGTTGCTTATTTCTGGAGATTTATGAAATGGTTATTTGATCTGCCTCTGAGTTTGTTTCTGATGTTGCCACCTCCAATTTTTTTTCTCCATTTTGTTCTCATATAGCTCTTTTTAAAACACAAATCTGATCGACTTCTGCTTAAAGTCTTCCAATGACTCCTACTCACTTACCCCCTAATCAGAATGTGAGGGATGGAGTGAGCCTGCCTGTTGTCACAGCCCGCAGCTGACTCTAGCACCTGTACTACAGCTGACCTGCAATAAATATTTCTCAAAAAAAGGAACCTGCAACAACTAAGTTATGAAAACATTTCACTGTATTGTGCTTGTCCCTGATCTTGTGTTTATCCTTCCCCCCCTTTTTTTTTTTTTTGCCTAATTTTTGCTTTTAAATTTTAACTTATCCAAGAGACCGTTAAAATATATAAGCCTTTGTTTTCTCTAGGAAAACAGGACTTTTGGGAGGCTGAGGCAGGAGGATCACCTGACCCCAGGAGGTGACCAGCCTGGGCAACATAGCAAGACCCTATCTCTATGAAAAATTATCCAGGCATGGTGACGTGTGCCTGCAGTCTCAGGTATTCAGGAGGCTGAGGCAGGGGGATCCCTTGAGTCTAAGAATTTGAGGTTACAGTGAGTTATGATGGTGCCACTGCATTCCACCCTAGGCAACAGACAAATGAAAACAAACAAAAATTATTTTCTTTAGAAATTTTTTCACCAGTAGGAAATATAGCAGCTTTAGAGAATTTTCATTTTCATTATTGTCCTGTCACACTTGCAGTATATTTCAGTACTTCCTATGGTTTTTCTGAATCAGGGTATCTCATACTTCCAATCAAAGATGTACTTCAAAAGCCTATCATTTTAGAATATTTTGTTTTTTATCTATAAAAATCCTTTTAAAACTTATTCTAATCTTTTCTTTCCTCTAGGTTTAATATGCTTACCTAAACTCACCAGAGATAACTTCAAATTTGCATTTCTGAGGTCTCTCTTAAGATACTCGACTTGTATTTAACTTTCTGTTTAGCAGATTAAAGTAATACATTTCTGGGAGTGGGGGGAAGAAAATCTATTCAAAACAGTATCTAGGGCACTTGTGCACATTCAGAGGCAAAATTCTAGAAGAAAATCTTTAAATTTCAAGACAGTATTCATCTACTAGATAATATCATTGCACAGAGGAGTAACTGTGGATTAATCTAATCAACATTCTATTTGTTCACCTTGCATTGATTCATAGAATGGTGCACGTGAGTTGTGTTTGTGTGCATGTGTGTGTGTATAGTAGATAAACATGTAATCTCAAGAAACAGTGGCCAAACTTTCCTGAACTATTCCTAACTTTTCAATAGTTCATATTATTTCTAAAGAAATTATAATTCATTGCAGAAGAGCTGAAGTTAACTTTATTGATATGTGACAGTTATGCCAAAGTTTCCACTGTCTAAAAACTCAAGGTATATTATTCAATGTCATGTAGATCATTTCTACACCACAATATTAACAAAGCCTGGATGAGTCAATTTGTTCAATCTGGCCATCTGAAATGATTTATGTCTATTGCCATAAATTTGATTTGGTGAAGAAATGAAATCAATTGTAAAGATGACTATTGCAGTCTACTCCATCCTGCCAAAAACAGCCTGTTCAATCAAGTGCTATCTTGAATTCATCAGTGGCTTCTCTAAAAATATGGAAGTACTCAGTTAACATGATTTATTTTCCCTGTTCTAAACCTTTTTTAGGACACAAGCATTTACTGTATTTTTGGGAAGCATAGTGTGCATATTATACGACAAAATGGCACAATCCAATATCATATGCATAAAAATAAAATTAAAATAATACAAACAACATAAAATCATACAATGGCCTGAAATCAGAATACATGATGATGAGCTAACTTTTCCAAGTATTTATTTGTTCCAGGTTCTTTTACATCTATGTTAAAATTACACTCAAGACAATCTTATGAGACATTTTATAACCCTTTTTGACTAAAGAAAAATAATTCATGGATTATAATGCTTGTCTAAAATTCGTATGTTTCAGAGCTGAGGAAAAGCAAATGGAAGACTTGATTTTTTTCCTTGACTTCCAACGTTTTATTATACGATCACTTATCTTTTTTAAGAATATAATCTGGCTGAGTACAGTGGCTCACACCTGTAATCTCAGCACATTAGGAGGCTGAGACAGGTAGATCACTTGAGGTGAGGAGTTCAGAACTAGCCTGGCCAACACAGTGAAACTCCATCTCTACTAAAAATACAAAAATTGGCTGGACATGGTGGCATGTGCCTATAATCCCAGCTCCTGGGGCGGCTGAGGCAGGAGGATTGCTTGAGCCTGGTAGGTGGAGGTTGTAGTGAAGTGAGAGCATGCCACTGCACTCTAGCCTGGGCAATGAGACAGAAACCCTGTCTCAAATCTCAAATATATATATATACACACACACATAAATATGAATAGGAGCATATATATATTCATATTTTTCATCAAATCATTTCACTAAC